AAGTTCCCGCTGGGGTCAGGGCCTGGAAGGCTTTATGCAGTCGGTAAATGACGGGTACAATTTTTCTTTCTGTTGTTCTATTATATCACTTGTCTTTTACCTACGTAATGCATATTAAGTGTAGGAGAAAAAGTGAATACAACTATACTTAAAAGGGGATATAAGAATAACGCTGCCCACAGAAAATGGAACGGAGGCTTGAGCCATCTTATTTTAAAATGATTCTTGCCTTCATTCATGCCACAAATGGACACCGAGCACCCACCAGCTGTGGGCCAGGCCCTGGGCTCCAGGATGGGGCATGGCAGAGGACAGGACAAAGGCCATGCATAGGAGGAGCTTAGAGACACAGCTGAATGGACAGCTGCACTGTGTGATGTATGCCACCGCTGAGGGGCTTTTCTCCCACTTGGTGAAACAGGGGTGGTGGCCAGGGAAGGTTCCCAGAGAGCACAGCTCCGTTTTCATGATTCAAGAAGTAGGTCCAAAGGGTAACAGAAACGGTGAACATTTCATGTTATCTCGTTCAGTTTTACACTCCTGATGCTTCTATGAAACCAATATCATTATCCCATCTCCAGATAAGAAAATTGAAGCACAAAGAGATTAATTGACTCCCCCAGGCACATAGTTGGTCAGCCATGAAGATGTTGGGCAAATTACAGACCCTCTCTGAGCCTCGATTTCCTTCTGTGTAGGGAGGGAGTAGTTACCTGCATCCTGGCATTGTCATGAGGATGAAATGATGAGGTGCATCTAATGCTTTCAGCAGGTGCCTGCCAGCTACAGCATGTTTAATAAGTTGTATTAGCAATGACTGCTGTTTGCAGGAAGAGGAAGAACGAGGAAACAGTGGTCATCATTTGTTGGTTTAAGGGATGACCATAGTCATCATTTACCCTGAGATGAGTTTGCCTAAGTTCCCACTGGGGCTTTGGCAAGAACTAAGCCTAGAGTCAGTCTTTCTTGCCCTCCTCCCCAGCACCTCCAGAGGAACCAGGATGAGCCCCTGAGTGGTCAGGAAGAGAAGGTAGAATGGAGGCAACTGCTTTTGGAGGCCAGGGATTTGCCCTCCTGATTTCTACCTGACAGCGGCCCCAGCACTGCATTATCTGTCCATTCATCCTCAATTAGGGTAAGGAAAGGAACATCTGTCTCACCTAAAAAATAACCCATTATTATCTGAAGAATAGCTATTGCATTCAATAGCTGTGAATGCAAGGAAGAAAACTCATTTGTGTCAAACACTACTAGGCAGAAATCTTGTAGTTGCAAGTGACAAAACCCCACTCAATGTGCCCTGTACCAGAAGGGAAATGTATGGTTACACATACCTCAAAAGTCTGGGAATGTATTGGATGGATTCAGCAACAGCCGGATGTAGGTGTTGAAAGCATGTAATCGGGATCCCATCCCAAAGCTCACTTTCCTCTCTTGGCTTCACTCTCAGGCAGGCTCTACAGTGCCAGGCTTACCTCCCAATGGGTGTGCGCCTTCCTTCCCAACACCTGTAGTGTTTTAGTGAAGGCCTCTTTGACCTTAGTTGGGTTAGGTAGCCTTAACCATCATTGAGATGCAGGGGTGGAAGATCTTATTGGCCTGGCCTGAATCATGTGAGTGAGGGTGAAGTAAGTGCTTCAAAACAAAATCCTGGTACTGTTTCTGAAATAGACAGGAATGGAGGCTGGGCAGGCAAAGAACAGATGTCCACCACACATGTATGATTCCATTAGTCCTTAGCAGAACCCTGGGAGGTAACTCTTATCCCCCCACTAGACAGATGGGGAAGGTAAGGTGCAAGAGTGAGGAGCCAGGGACTAGCAGAACAGGGCTCACCCCCCCACACACACACTGCCCCTGATGGAGTCTCTTTGGTCTCAGGCACCCTGCAGTCCAGCCCTTCGACCACGTCTCCATCAGGGTCCCTCAGCGGCTCCCAGGATGATAGTGATTCTGATATGGCCTTCAGTGTCAACCAGTCCTCCTCAGCATCTGAGTCATCCCTGGGTAAGGAGGTATAAGCCCTAGAGGGGGTAGGGGCTGGCAGCCGGCCCGGCTCCTTCAGCTGGGCCAGAGCCTTCTTGAGGCTAAGCAAGGATGGCCACCTTTCCCCCTCCTCTTCCCTGCATCCTCTCCTGTCTCAGCTGTACATTCACCTGGAGGGAGGAGAAATCGAGCTCTGGTATCCCAAAGGCTAATGATGGGACTTGCTTCCTGGGGGAAGGAAGGAATGGGAACAAAGCCCAGAAGAAAAACCCCAAATTGGTGTCTCACAAAATTGTTTCCCCACAAGTTCGGCCATATAAGCGCTGCCTTCCTGGGGTTACCCCAGCAGATCCCACCTGAAAACCACATTACTGAGGTCTGTCTTGTTCTCCCTTTCTACAGTGACGGCACCCAGCTCCCCGCTGAGCCCCCCAGTGTCTCCCGTGTTCTCCCCACCAGAGCCGGCAGGCAGCAAGAATGGCGAATGCACAGTGTGCTTTGACGGTGAAGTGGACACAGTCATCTACACGTGTGGACATATGTGCCTATGCCACAGCTGCGGCCTGCGGCTCAAGAGGCAGGCCCGGGCCTGCTGTCCCATCTGCCGGAGGCCCATCAAGGATGTCATTAAGATCTACAGGCCGTAGCCTGGCCTGCCAGTGGGCCTTGGCCAGAGCAAGGTCACCTTTCTGAAGGCCCCTGGGCCAGGCAACCACCATGGCCGCCAAGGAATCCAAGGGCAGTGGCCATCCCGTCTGCCACTCTCCAATAGTGGGCAAGGCGTGACAGTCATGGAGATGAGGCCCTGGGGGTCTGAGCCCAGGCAAGGGCTGCTTCTGGCTCAAAAGTGCTTTGCCCCCAAAAAGGCCGTCCCAAGAGCAAGCTCAGGAACTGCCTAGCAGACCACCCTGTCCCTCGGTGACCTCTCAGCTGGGAAGCAGCATTCTCTGTGCAATGCTTTTTGCTGGGGTTGGGCTGAGTGTGTGTGAGAGAGGGTGAGGGGAGGGAGTGGACAGAGAAGAGAGGGAATGTGTGAGAGAATGAGTGAGAGAGAACGCGTAGGTATTTATCCAGGGATCCTGGCTCTAGGAGGTTATTTAACACTAAGGAATGTGCAATCCAGAGCCCAGACGGTAGCGTGACTAGAAATTGTTCACTTTCTGGGGCTGTCACGTCAGCTGGTTTTGAATGTATGAAGCCTGCACCTAAACAGAACTCCCTTGGATGGTATAGAAAAGGGACACTCAGATTTTCTAAAGGAAGGCAAAAATAGCTCATTGTTTACAGCTCCAAAGCAGCAACGCCTTGGGGGGGAAGGTGGGTGGAGAACATAAAAGAACAATTTGCTTTTTTAGTTTCTTCCTCAGTCCTGGAGGGGAGTTTTGATGGGTGCTACGGCCCACTGAGAGCTCTGGGTGGTGTCATCCCCAGAAGCCTTTTCACCCTCTTCACCCCCTTCACCCCGTACAGCCTAATAATAAGCACAGTGCACCTTGACTTGGTCCCTAGATGCTTTTCACCTGGTCCACCCCTTGCTGTCACCAAGGAGAAGACAAGCAGCAGGTTCTCTTTGCCTGGGGGAGGGAAAGAATCCTGGAGGCAGAGGACTCACCTGGAATTGGAAAGGCCACTCCATCTCCCAGACAGCTCTCCACATTTCCTGCTGTGACTCCCCGGGCCTGGCATTCACCAGCAGCTGTTGGCATCACCAGGGCAACCTGCTGGTGAAGTGGGAGGAGGAAAAGACTTGCAACCAGTTCTGACTCTCAGCTTCTCTTTTGCTGCTGATTACTAAGATGTTAATTGACCATTAAGATGTTAACTAATAGCTTAGATATTGAAATGCTGACATCGAGACTCTTCCCCCTTCCCAGGACTCTTTGCAGGCATTTCCCCTGTCCCCCACCCTCCTCACCCTGCCTAGGCCCATCTCTGCAGACTCCCAGACCATCTCTGGGCTGATGGGCCGGCCCGGGGCCTCTCTTCCCTTTTTGTCCCCAGTTCTGGGCCCAACCTCTGCCCGGTCTTGTGCTGTATCTTTCAGGAAGCCCCTGGGCGTCTCTGATTCTCAGTTACCGATCCGTCCAAGGTGAAGCCCAGTACCTGCCCACTGCAGAACCTCTGGGAGGCCCAGTATAACATGTAAAAAGTCCAAGACACCCTGCAAAGAATGGGTATCATTTTTAATCACAATTCCTAATCTGTTCATCTGCTGAACAGATGATGGCTGGGAAAGAACATCCAGAGAGTTTTTGCATTCATATGACACATGTTTGCTGGGGCTCTGGGGACCCAGAGCCCACCCCAGTTGGGCCCTTGTCAAATCAAATCCTATAAGCCCAGGTGGTCTTCGTGATGCTCTAGGTCTTGGGCCCCCTGCTTCTCTGCCCGGAAGTGGTCATAGTGTTCTGACCTGATCTCAAACTTCAGAACGCCCACTCTTACTCCTGCAAGAACCCCTAATTGGTTATTTTCCCCCTAGTGAGTCTGGGAAACATGCCCACATTTTACTTTTGTGATGAAAGTTTTGGGGGAGCTACTGGAACCCCAGAGTTTGCCAGTATAAGAGCTGGGGAGGCTAGGCAGCACTCAATGCCCAGCTGAATTTGGCCTGCAGGAGCCTTCCATTTCCCCCATGGGTGATGTGGGCACAGGCCATGTGGGAGAGGACTCATGACCTCCCCTATGGGACTGGTTCTCCAGGCAGCAGTGCCCCTGACTGGATTGAGCCATTCACAAGCTCTGGTGGTCTCAGAAGCTAGCAGGAGGCAGCTTGTCTTTCCTGCCACTTGCCTTTCCTGACTATCTCCCCTGGGTTCCAGCCAGGGTCGTGTACAGCCACCGTCAGGAAACCAGTGACCGAGGGCCTGGACCTGAGGTGGAGCAGGCCATGCTCCTGGTGACCTGTTACCTGGAACAAAAGGAGAGCTAGTGGCCTGTTTAACTTGCTCTGCAGCTGCTATAAATAGACTCCCTGTTTCCAAGAGGAATTAAGGGGGTGTTTATCTTCTAAAAACCAGACATTTCCTGATGCTCTAAACTGTTTTATTCAGTGCTATAAAGGAACTAGCTGCTCACATGGCCCTCACATGGCAGAAGAAAGAGGGAAGGGAACCCCACTTTTTTCTTTCACATCATTATGTGCCTTGGCATTGGGCTAGCAAGGCATCTTCACGCGTTAATTCTGTGAGGCAGGTCTTGTTACCCCATTGAGGCGTATGGAAAACACCACTGATTATAAAATACACCATTTTATGTACTGCTAAGGGGAAAAAAAAGGCTGCCAATTCTAACTGCAAGATGTCACAGCTATACAATTCATTCTAATCAGAGACTTGAAATGTGGAAAAACTGTGCGACTTAGGACTGATGAAACGCAGGGTTGTGCCCACCTGATGGGTAAGGGAGCCAAGGCCCCATGAATGAAGTGACTTAGGATCAAACTCACTAGGTGGCGGGGCTGGGACTCAAACATAGGAGTATCTGGTGCTGACTCCCACACTCTCCACTGCCTGGCCCCAGCCCCCCCAAAGCTTGAGACTGCCTTGAGTTTTCTTTTTTGCAACTTCTCTGGGCAGTTCCTGGGGAGAGCCCGGGCACCCGCACCTGTATGGAGAGTTTCAGCTCTAGGCTGTGGTCCCTCTGCCACCCATACTCTGGAAGGACATGTGTCCTTCCTTTCAGGCTCATCTTCCCACTGCCCACCTTTTCCTGGCAGAGCTGAGCTCCGTGAGGTCCCGAGTCCAACCTGAAGGCCTCCTTTTGTTACACAGGAGCGCACACATGAGGCAGCTTGGGGGAGCAAACGAGCGCCTTGTTCCGCCACCTTCCTGGGCCTCAGCACCACCACCCCCTCAAGCAGGGATTCCAGGGGTAAGAAGGGGGAGACCAGAAGACACTCCTTTGTTGTGGTCTTGTGCCTATTTTGAGCCATCAGAGAAGCTGGGCCATTTCCAAGTCAAAACAACCTCCTTTTTCTAGTCCATTCCCAGAACTGGGAGTCTTCTGAGATTTAGCCTCACAGGGCAGCTGCTCCCCTAAGTGCAGCAACACTTTGCTCAACACCCACTCATCAGCATGGCCTCTTCTGGACGCAGTGTTGGGAACTGGGACTAAAGACAAAGCCTGCAGGAAGCAGATTGTCCAGAGCAGGAGATGGACAGGTGTGTAAACTTTTATTTGATCCCTCTGGTGTTGGGGCCTATACTAGCACGTAGTAGGTACTCATTAAAGGTTACTGAAGGAATCAGAAATCAAGTTATGAATGCTCAGGGGGTTGGTAAAACATCACACTCACACACACACACACACACACAGTCATTCAACAAACATCTGCTGAGCGCCTACCAGGTGTGGGGTGCTGGGAATGAAGAGCTGAGAGGATAGCCCTAGCTCTACCGTCAGAAGGAGAGGCATTAACAGGATAAGACGACACTGGGGACAGAATCCTTTGGGGTTTCTTGGCCATTCTGTTGCCTTCGGGGATTTATCCTGGTGAGTGCCCACGACTGCTCTCCTGACCCAGAACCTCCTGCATGCTTCCAGAAGCCTCCTCCGCATTAGAAATGCCAGGCACCTTGCAGTCAGTGAGCTGCCACCAAAATGGCCTTGGGCAGAACCCTTAAAGTTTCCACTGCTTGATGATTACCTTCAAGTCCCGCCAGGGGGACATGTGGGGAGAGGCCTACCTGCTCCTTTCAGGCGGGACCGGATGCTGGAATCAATCCCCGAGTCCCCAGACAACCCCGTCAGTTCCAGTTGAGAATGGGCTTGCACAAAATCTTGGAGAATGAGAGGCAATAACCTCCCCCTGCTCGATCCCATCTCTGCCCCAGTTTTGGCAGAGGGACGCCCGCTCAGGAACACGTGGCCTCCTGGCATTTCTCAGTATTTAACTGTGTGTCTTTTCCAAGCCCTAATGAAATGACTTGTACAACAATCTGTCTGTGCCTTATGAAAGTGTCTGTGCACTTTTTATCCTTTTTAAAAGCAACGTTAAAAAGTGGGCAAGGGACTAGCATACATGGTAGTGTTCTAGAAATATGTGCTAATCACTTAAACCCTTCTGCATTATGTTTTTGATGTAGGAGTGATAAAGTGTACGTCTCTCATCCCAATCCCCCACTACCTGTGTACAGACCTTTTTAAAAATGTCTCTTATTCTTATTTTTCTGATTCAATACTGTGACTTCTCCAATACAATCTAATCTTTGGGAATCTGTAATAAAGGTTTTAAAACGTGGGGGTGTGGTTGGGGAAGGGTTTGCACTGGTCCCGTGTGTTGTGCTTTGCCTGTTGTGTGTTTTGGTTTTTGTCTATTTTTATCTGTTTTATATTAACATAATTTTTCTGTTTAAAAAACAAATACAACATTGGCTTGTTAAAAAAGAAAGTTTCTTCAGTACTCAATTTTAAAAATCACAACTGCACATACCGTTGGGGAGTGAAGGTGAGGGATACAAAGCATTGCCAACCTTGAGGAAACATCTTGCACAATGCCCATAGAGTCCTGAAAATGTTTGATCCTTTTGCCACCTAATTTTGTGAAAATATCACAAGGAAAGAATTCTAATCAAGGATAAGCTCTGTATGTAAAGATATTCATTGCAGCAGTATTCATAATGATAAAAAATTACATAAGCCACCC